AGATAATGTATTATACAAAGGTTTATGTGTATATTAATTTTATATATTTCACAAGCCAAGAAAGCGCACAGAGACCGAAGATGATGAGTATCATGATGACGAATCAGAAAGTGATGAAAGTGACGATGAATGTGAGTTAAGGCTAAGCGTGGAAGAAATGGGATTTGACGAGTACGTTGATCGAAATGATCAACCTGTAAGTATATTTTTTTCTTAAGGTTGATTGTAAGTACGATTTTTTTAAAACAATAATCGTTTTATAGTTCATTTTCAAAACAAAAAACATACCGTCACTATTTGAGTCATATCGATCCAAAGCGTTAGCTCATGCGCAAAATTCTGGTCTGATAATGACGAAAAATTATCACGAAATATTGTAGGTAGAACTTTTAAATGTAATGTCTTTTTAATGATTAACTTTGCTGATGGAGGTTGATTATTATTTTTTTTTTGAAAATTCAGGAGTCTATCCCATATTCTTTTATTACAAATGGATAATTATTCGGATTCGCAAGTAAAAACGTTCTCTAGGGAAACGCTCGAAGATCTTAGAAAGGATATTAAATCAAAGTTAATCGGAAAAGAAAAAGTAACAAGGGACGTAAAATCAATCCTACAAGAGTTCATTGAGGTTCGTATTTTTTTATTATCATCATTCTTTTGCAATGTTCCCTTTACTGACTATCTTGCTTAGATTGCTCTTGACGATAATGATGGTGGATTACACGAACTTCGCGAAACCATCACTGAATCTTTTTCGAAAAAATTTAATTCAACAGCAGAGAAAGAATTTCTTCGACGAATTAAGTTTCTCTTTGAACATCTGTAAGTTTTGATATCTCTTAGTTAAGCAACTTTTTGAAATGGCTGTTAACAAGATTTTTTCTTGCTACTTTGCAGGTCTTATACTATCCCATTACATCCATTGAAAGAAATTATAAGCGAAGGGACACTTGTGGCGAATATAATAAGTCCGGTGTTACGAATTTTTTTTCATGACTCATACATATATCCCACGATATGGCCGAACACATCCAGCACCAGCGCAAAGGTCCGAAAACTTGCCATCGGTGATCCTTCCCGGGCTAAACAACTCGATATGATCGGAAAATTGTCAATAATGGTACTTATATAAAAAACAGTTAATCATAAAAAATACAAATAAATCTGTTCTAATTATTTCTTTAACATAAACAGGAAAATTTGTTTATGAATCGATGTTCGGTGAGGTGACGGGAGAAGGAAAAAATAACACGGAAAAAAAGAATCTAATCGACCTGGTTAGATTGGGGATATTTATGAAAGATTCCCTTGATAATATTTCGCGTAAGACCAGTGTCAATCGGATTTTCGGTTGGCAAGTTATTGGTAAGCTGGTCTTCCAGGAACGCTTGTTTTAACTAACTTATCCTACATAATTAATGATTCTTCATGTAATAAATAGTGACAAAGTGGACCGGTTATATGATGACATTAATTAGTCCAGGGATTTACGTTATGATTGAGTGTAGATCTTCCAAGATCTTTCGAAGTATGCAATACGTTTCTATCTGGTCTGGATACGCTGTTTGCATTTCAGGTATAACTTAGGAATATCAATATTACTTGTTAATTCTGTATAAATGACTAATTCAAAACTGTTCCTCTAGATAGCATATGAAAAAACAATAAAGGATATCCTCTCAATTATGAATAAAAGTGAAGAAGTTGAGAGTAATGATAATTTTAAAGGATGGCGTCGATCAACACTTGGAACACCATCGTTCAAAAAAATTGTGAAGTTCAAATAACTATCAAATAAGATATTACTTGTTAATAGAACATATATTTAATCAACTAATTATATTCTATATCAGCTGTTTCTTTCTTTTTCAATATTAATAAAGTTGTTTGCTCGCAATCCGGTTTTAATTTTCATGAATTGACCTTACTATATATATATATAATACGCACATTATATTTATAAAATGCATATATACAAAAAGACAGAATCAAACCTTATTTGTCCAATTTCAGGGGTATATCCCAACCTAATCTAGTTGTGAGAGGATCATCAGTTGCTTTAGTAAAATCGAAGACCACAAAATTCCGATCTCGCAAATGTTTGTCAATAATCTTGGAAGCTTTTTTAGAGTTATCCGTATACTGACGTACGATTCTGGCTATATCATCCCGACTTCCCGCCCCTCGAAAAAGGGCTAAATGCGTGATATTCTCACGAATAATTTTAGGAGTTTGTGTATACTTCTGGCTCACGTATATACTTGATACACCTTGATGTCGGTCACTGATAAAATATGGAACAATCCGGTCCTGAATTTTCTTTGATTCAGCGCAAAGGTCCTCAAAGACTACAACAGTGTTTCTATCTGGTGAGAACTTAGTTATATCTGGAATTGCACCTGCTTTTAATGCACGAAATGTCACGTTCTCCCGATATGTTTTTGGGCCCTTCGAAAAAATTTCGTTACAGTTTTTCACTAATACCTATTTGGGCTCATGGATATGCTTTCCGATTAAGACTAGATCTTCATTTTTGACATACCGCTCCCCTTTCTTTTCCTTGAACAAACGTTGAATTTTATTTCCAAGAAGAAGATTAAGAATCATATTGGTTTTTCCACTGTCTGATCCACCGCAAATTAACAAACGAAAGGGAAACGCAGGACTGGCAGGGTGATTCATATTCTTTAAATTTTTGGTCTCGTTAAGATTGTATATATAATACTCCATTTTTCTCATTTTGATTGGGCTTAGCATGAAATTACTATATCGAAAAAATAAGGATTTTAATGAAATACACACATTTAAAGTTTCATATTTATTCTACTGTATAAGACCCAATTCTCGAAGATACTCTGGAATAACTATATGCAGATCTTCGTAATACCAAACATATTTTAGTTCGATGCAATTTTCTTTGCATAATTCTTGCTGTCTGATGAAATTATTCGGGTCTCCTCTATGAAAGAATTCTATATATTTATCATGCTGTTCTCCTTGTACTTCGATTGCAAAACCATAGTGATAATAAGGAATGTCAAGTTGTAGCCCCATTGAATGCTCTGGTGTTTTTAAGAAATCAGGCTTACGATTTTCTGATGGAGGGCCCAAATATTTTGTTAAGATTTGACGACATAGATTTTCACGTTTATACTTACTACAATACGGACACCATGAGCATTTATTCACAATATTATCAAATTTTGCATACCATTTATGCTGATTTTTACAGATCCATAATAAAGGAGATTTATTATTTTTGTATTCTGTTGAAAGACACTTACCACCCCGAGTGAGAGCAATTTGTTTAGCATCATCAAGAGTATGTTTGGCCATACCTGCACAGTATGGACACCATGTATCAGAATGTTTTATACTACTATTGAAAACTGACTTGTAACCTTACAAGTGTATAGTTTGTTTAGAATTTTGTGGGAAATTAGACTTAACAAGAAAATTTTATTAGAAGCGATTGAAAAAAAAAATGGAGGAAATCGGGAATATCAGATTAGGTTACGTATTAGTTATTTACTAAGCTAGTAGTATATAAACGGGTTATCAACTTATCATCCGAAGGATGATGACCTATTTATGATCAGTAAAAAACTTTTTTATCATCCTGGATATACTAATTGGTCCGCCAGTTTATAACTGGCGGAAAAAATCCTAAATACCAATTAGTAGCCAGGTGATAAATTTGGTTAGTACATGATTAGAGGATCGTACTAACAGCTAAATTGAAAACGGAGGTAATACCTGCACTTTTTGCATAGAACTTTTGAGGTCTTCTCCTACGATACATGATTCGTCCGTGCTGATCTATTCCATAATTATTATGGTTAGATTTGCTGCCGGATCATATTGGTCATGTGTACATTCCGAGAGATTTTCATCGCTAATACAGTTTCGGTTAATGAAATTTTAATCGAATATTTTTTTTGCTAATTAACGAAAAGCAATTTTTTTTACTAATCATGTTTCATTTTTGGCCATTCCCACCCTCTCAGAATGATGCGATCGGCGGCAGCAGATTGATTACCGTAGCTATTCAAACGTTGATTTTTTAGTCTCTTTAGTCTTTTATTAGACTTTTCGGGCTCTTTTTATACTGGATCATTTTTTATTTAATAATATTTTTTTGGTCTTTTTTTAGACCGGATATGATAATAATATTTGTTTTTCGATCTCTTTTTTTAGACCGGATCTTTTTCTTAAAAAAATAACATCTTTTTTCGGTCTGATCTTTTTTTTTTTTAATGATTTTTTTTTCGGTCTCTTTTTTTAGACCAGATTTTTTTTAATATTATTTTTTTTTTAGTTTTTTAAAACCGAGATTCTTTTCAATTTTTCTAAACTGAATTTTAATATCTTTCGTCCTTTTTTTTTTTTTTTTTTTTTATGTATAGGCATATTATTGCAATTATTTTTTATTTCTAGAATCCATAGTCCATACAATAGATTTCATCAAACTAAACTTTATTTACATTAACTTGCCTACTACATGGTTAATTTTACTAATAATATTAACAATTTGCATTGATAATTCGTTATTATAAATAGATAAAAACAACTAAAGAAAAGGGAAAGGAAGAAAATTTACAGATCTGATTGACGCTGCAGTCCTACAGTAAACGTAATTTTTTATATTAATAAATTATTAATTTTTTTTTTCTTTTTTTGTTCTTTCACAATTTAGGTTTAGATCGGTGATATAATCAAAATAAAATATTTTTTTGAATAAATATGCTTTTAAGTTAGAATCAGTATATATATTTTTTACTTAAAAAAACATGTCGCCAGATTTGTTTTCTGTTGCGTTTTAAATAGGAACAATGATAATATTTATTTGCTTTTATTTTTGATAAATACTTGGTTTAACCAAAATAAAATAAATCGTTTTTTAGTAATATTGATAATATCTGTTATGGGATCTCTCTTTATACAATAACAACTTTTTTTTTGTGTAAAATATGAATTAATTAAAAAATATACAATTTTCATAAAAAATTTTTATTAAATCCTAAAAATGCTTTTATAAATATTCGTAGTTATAATTATACTATATATATAAATTTGTGACATATTTACTTTATAATAATACAAAATAAAATTATTATGTAGAATTGCAGATGAGAAATGTGTTTTTAAGTTTTACATTGAACAATCCTAAAGTTTTGCAAATGTTAATTTTGTTGTAGAAAGTTTGTATTCAATTTTTTTTTCGATAAAATCGTATGTCTTGGCTCAGTCCAAGCTACCTTAAGGCTTTGCTTGGATTTAGAGGTTGGAACCGGTTGAGCTTAACCGGTTAATTAACCGGTTAAAACATTTGTTAACCAGTTAAAAATCAATTTTTAACAGGTTAAATTAACCGGTCAAAATGCGTAATTCTGGCCAAATTTACAGTGCCGGCCAGAATTATAAATCACGGGACTTCGGATAAAAGTTTAGCCACCAGGTAGACCAGGTGGTGGAATTTTTTGTGTTATATAAAATTCATAATGCGGGCCGAAATTCATAGTGCCGGCAAGACAATTTTGGCCTGAATTTCGTCTTTCAGCTAGAGTTTCGTTTCGATAGTTAGAGTTTTGGTCTGGCCTAATTTTAGCCGGGATTAAAAATATATTTGATGCTAATCCTGACCGAATTTTAATTCTGACTAGGATTGAGTTTTAACCGGTTAATTAACCGGTTAAAGGTTTGGTTAACCGGTTATTAACCGGCTAAGACTTTTATGACCGGATCCAACCTCTACTTGGATTAGCTTAAAGTTGGTTTTAAACGTGCTGAGCTTGGCCATTCTAATCGGCTCAACTCAGCTCATGTGGAGCTTTATTTTCAAGTCCAATAACCTCTAAAAGTAATTTACTAGGACAATAATAGCTTTTTTTTCGTCTACCAATCCTTTTTCTTCAGCAACGCTCGAAAGTAAAAAGTTGTAACTAAATTTATTATGGTTTATACTTATTGCCTGATATCAAATTAAATTCTATCTCACCTTTTTTATTTGTTTACATGATAAAATAATTTTTAAATTAGACAAAATTATTGAATTGTTACTTTTTTTTTAAGTTAAATTTATTTATACAACGATTTTTAAATCTTATCCTATGTTTTTTGGGATAAAGTAATATACAAAGAATTTTATTATATCAAAAATATAAAATAAACAAGTATAATATGGCCATTAAAATTTAAAATCATGTTTAGCGTGATTCTCACTAATTTAATTATAAAAAAAAAATGCCATTTCATTAGTCGGAAAAGCAAAAAAAAAAATAAAATAAATAAAAAAAAAAAAAAAATTCAAAATACGCTTAAGAAAAGTTAACGCTAAACAGAATTTAAACTGTAATGATGTAAAGAAAAAAAGATTTTGAAAAATTGTTTTATCAAAAATGTTATACTGCAAATACTGTAAAATTGTTAATATTAGTAATGCTAACTTAAGGTCGTTAATTACTTTCGAATTATAATCTTTATATAAGCGCATTTCTGCACTTTTAAATTCTATATTTAAATCTAAAAAAAAAAATCAATAAATAAAATAATATATTAGCTTAGATAGGATCAAAATATAATATTAATAATTCTTCAACAAATTGGACAAATTTAACCTTAATTAATATTCAATTAAGATATATCAATTCGACAATATTCTAAAGTATCTATTTAATAAATAAAAAATTTATTAGTAACTTTAAATGATTTATATTTATTATTAATTAATACCTGAAAATTCCTTGCTTATTATATTATCAATTTTCTCATAATAATCACAAGGAATATCAATTCGACAATATTCTAAAGAATCTATTTAATAAGTAAAAAATTTATTAATATCTTTAACAAATGATTTATATTAATTATTAATTAATACCTGAAAATTCCTTGCTTATTATATTATCATTTTGTTCATAATAATCATCAGAATTTTTTGGTTCGGGAAGATTATTAAAATTGAGTGATCTAGTTTCATATGAAAATCCTAAACTAGTTGAAGGTATGGTGATATTTGGTGAATTGTTGTTAATATTATCTGCTTCTTCAATTTGTGTTCGTAATACTACTGTTTGTTTATCACTTGGTTTACATAGCCATGTGTATAGAATAATTTCAATTTCTTCTGCTTTTGGCCGTTTTAATGGATCTGAATCTAAGCATCCTTTAATTAATTGTACAATTAATTGAGGTACTTTAATATTAAACCTTGGTCTAAGTCCTTTACAGATTTTTATTGCTAAATTTTCATGGCTAATGTTATGATATGGGCGTAATCCAGAAATTACTTCATACATAATTATACCAAAACTATAAATATCAGCAGCCTTAGTATAATTTTTTCCTCTTAAGATTTCAGGAGCTATATAAGGTAAATTACCATAAATTGAATTCTCTGATGCATCATAATTTGCAGGTTTGCATAATCCCATATCAGTTATAACTGTACTATATTTATGCTTTAATATATTACCAATATGCAAATCACGATGAAGTAATTCCTTTTCATGGATGTATCTAAGTCCAACTATAGCATCTTGTAAATAACCAATTTTTTAGACACAATTCAATATACCATAATTTTTATCCAAATAATCTCGTAAACTTCCATCTTCTGCATAATCTAAAATCATCATATAATCTTTTGTTTTTGGATCCTGAGTTATTCCATAAAATCCAATAATAAAATTATTGTCTATTTTTCCTTTATTATGTAACATAATCTATATAAAAGTAAAGTTACAAAATATATTAGTAAAATTAACAATTTCAAATTTAACTATTTAAATAAATTAATAAAATCAATATACCTCATTCATAAATTTTAGTGTAACATCTTTTGAATTATTTAAACTTTTTAGAGCTACAACCATATTTTTATTATTTCTTTTCCAATTTTGACTATTTTCATCCCATTTATCTATATATCCATCAATCCAATTTGCTTTATATATTTTGCCAAATCCTCCTTTTGCAATATACTTAATATTATATAATCTATCATAAGGTATCCATTCTAATGCCTTTCTATATACTTGATAGTCAACATGAACTGATAGTTGAGTATCTTGAATAAATATATCAATATCATTATTACAACTAGTCCAATTTTCAAAATTATATTGGAAATGTATTGCATTACATGTATAATTACATTTGTCACATTTATCATTCAAAACCATCATATAATTATTTGTTTCTGGATTTTGAGTTATTCCATAAAATTCATGATCTGTTTTAATCTAATAAATATAATATATATAGTATTAGTAAAATAAGAATTTCAATTTAATTAAATAATAAATTAATTATACCTTATTCATAAATTTTAATGTAAGGTTGCCTGCCGAAACTCATTTGGCCCAATGCCGAAAGTCGAAACTCCTTACATAGTGTCGAAACTGCCGAAACGCCGAAACGCTGAAACTGTCGAAACTGCCGAAACTGCCGAAACTGTTTTGGCATTTTGGCATAGTTTCGGCATAACTGATACTAATACTTTATTAGAGTTTCGGCATTGTTTCGGCATATATAGTATTAACTTTCTATAAAAAATAAAAGAAAGAAACAGTTGTTTCTTTAGACTTATTCTCACACGTACATACCCACCCCATTTAAATTATTTGCTCGTTACTAAGCTAAAGGTTTTTATTAATTTGTTTTAAGTTACTACTAACACGACAAAAAAAAAACAAAAATTAAAAAAAAATTATTTCGTTTATATTATAATTTAATATATTAGTTTATTGCAATTTTTTATTTATATTAAAACAGATTAATTAGAAAAGTATATTATTTAGTCTGAAACTCCGTTTTCAGTCCAGCACGACGGAATCTACGATAAAAAAATAATGAATACTAGTAAAACATTCCGAAGCACTTTCTTCACCATCTCTTATCTCCCACTACCACATATAGTACCCGCCCAGTTCCAAGGTTCCAGTTCAAAAATCTAAGTAAAAAGAGTTTAAACTAAAAACTCCCAGTCACTCCAATTCCAAGGCTCCTATTTGTAACCTACAAAAAGGAAAGAAAAAGAACATTATTAAACTTTCTTATATCAAGAACACCTTCCTCCCACTTCTAATTGCTGTTCCTTCAAGTTCAGGAAACACGTCAAAAAGTCCATTCCTACAAAAAGAAAAAGAAAAGAGCGTTATTAAACGTTCTTATATTAAGAATACCCCCCCTCCCCTTCGAAATACTATACCTCCAAGTCCAGAAAATGCGCTGAAAAGAACGTTCCTAAGAGAAAAGAAAAGAACGTTATTAAATGTTCTTATATTAATATATTAAAAAAACCTCCCTTCTAATATTGCCGCTCCTGAATATCTACAGTAGGTCAGTAATGCCAAGCAACCGAAACCTAAAATAAAAAAAATAAAATTAAGTTAATAAAAGAAAAATACATAAGATAATAAAAGAAAAAAAAATAGACTTACCTTTACCTTCTAAGAATCGGAAAAAAAGATACCGTACTTGTTCGTCAATTCACAAGACTAAAGGTATTAAAAAAAAATATTTTTTTATAAAAAAAAGAGATTATCAGCCGATTAGATCGGTAAAATCGGATCGGCTACTGCAGGTTGGACAATATTACATCGGAAATGCCGAAACTATATGTATATCATATGATATACTGCGCCAAAACGCCGAAACAGTTTCGGCAGTTTCGGCAGTTTCGGCATGCCGAAACTTCCTAGTTTCGGCAAGCAACCTTATTTTAATGTAATATTTTTTGGATCATTTAATATTTTAATTATCACAATTATATTCTCATTAGTTCTTGTCCATTGATTTTTATCATCCCATCCATAAATATATCCATCAATCCAATTTGCTCTATAAGTTTCACTAAATTTGCTTTTTATAATGTTATTAAATCTATCATAAGGTATCCATTCTAATGCTTTTTTATGTACTTCATAGTTAACATGAACTGATAGTTGAGTATCTTGAATAAATTTATCAATATAATCATTACCACTAGTCCAGTCTACAAAATTTTGTTGAAAATGAATTGCACCACACATATAATTACATTTTTTACATTTATTATTCAAAACCATCAAGTAATTATTTGTTTTTGGGTTTTGAGTTATTCCATAAAATCCGCTAGTCTACAAGTATAATAATATATATTAGCAAAACCAAGAATTTCAAATTTTAATTAAATAATAAGTTAATTATACCTCATTCATAAATTTTAATGTAATATTTTTTGGATCATTTAATATTTTAAGTATCACAATCACATAATATTTATTTCTTTTCCAATTTTGTTTTTCATCATCCCATTTATAAATACATCCATCAATCCATTTTGCTCTATAAATTTCATCAGATCTGCTTATAGTGTTATTAAATCTATCATAAGGTATCCATTCTAATGTTGCTTCAGCATTTTTATGAACTGATAGCTGAGTATCTTGAATAAATTTATCAATATAATCATTACCACTAGTCCAGTCTATAAAATTTTGTTTAAAATGAATTGCATTACACGTATAATTACATTCTTTACATTTATCATTCAAAACTATCATATAATTATTTGTTATTTGATCTTGAGTTATTCCATAAAATCCGTTAATCTACATGTATAATAATATATATTAATAAAACCAAGAATTTCAAATTTTTATTAAATAAAAATTAATTATACCTCATTCATGAATTTTAATGTAATATTTTTTGGATTATTTAATATTTTAAGTAACACAATCATATTATTTTTATTTCTTTTCCAGTTTTGTTTTTATCATCCCATTTATAAATATATCCATCAATCCAAATTGCTTTGATTATTTCATCAGATCTGCTTTTTAAAGTGTTATTAAGTCTATCATAAGGTATCCATTCTAATGTTGCTTCGGCATTTTTATGAGCTGATAGCTGAGTATCTTGAATGAATTCATCAATATCATCATTACCACTAGTCCAATTTTCAAAATTTTGTTGAAAATGAATTGCATTACATACATCATTACATTTTTTACATTTATCATTTAAAACCATTATGTAATTATTTTCATCTGGATTTTGAGTTATTCCATAAAATTCATGATCTGTTTTAATCTAATAAATATAATATATTAGTAAACTTAATAATTCCAAATTTTCATTAAGCAATAAATAATTATACCTCATTCATAAATTCTAATGTAATATTTTTTGGATCATTTAATATTTTAAGTATTACAATCATATTATTTTTATTTCTTTTCCAACTTTGCTTTTTATCATCCCATTTATAAATATATCCATCAATCCAATTTGCTCTATATATTTCATGAGATCTGCTTTTTATAGTGTTAGTAAATCTATCATAAGGTATCCATTCTAATATTGCTTCTGCATTATTCTTATGAACTGATAGCTGAGTATCTTGAATAAATTTTTATTACCACTAGTCCAATTTCCAAAATTTTGTTGAAAATGAATTGCATTACATACATAATTACATTTTTTACATTTATCATTTAAAACCATCATATAATTATTTTTTTTTGAATTTTGAGTTATTCCATAAAATTCATAATCTGTTTTAATCTAATAAACAAAATGTATTATTAGTAAAATTAAGAATTTTAAATTTTCATTAAGTAATAAGTTAATTATACCTCATTCATAAAATTTAGTGTAATTTTTTTTAAATTATTTATTCTTTTTAGAGTCACAATCATATTATTATTGTTTCTTTTCCAATTTTGTTTTTCATCATCCCATTCACAAATATATCCATCAATCCAATTTGCTTTATATACTTTATTATCAAAACTGCTTTTTTCAATATTATTAAATCTATCATAAGGTATCCATTCTAATGCCTTTTTATATACTTCATAGTTAACATGAACTGATAGCTGAGTATCTTGAATGAATTTATCAATATTATTATTACCGCTAGTCCAATTTTCAAAATTTCGTTGAAATTTTATTGTGGTACATATAAAATTACATTCTTCACATATTTCATTTAATTTATTAACATGTGATGGCTTTAATAGCTTTTTGATACTTTTAGTAAAAGAATCCATTAAGACTTTTAAAACCACTAATGAATTCCAATAAAAAGGCAACTTGAAAAAAATTGTTTAAATTCAAGGATTAAGAATCATATAAATTAAAGATCGAACAATGCTTATGTATTATGACTAACATTACATTTCATCTTGCATATGAACGAAATATCAAATATAGTTAGCCGCTGATCAGTTGATCATCCTGGTAGATCCTTGATGATCATTTTGTCGACGTAATCGATCATTTTAAATATCTTTAATTTTCGGTTTTTAGGTAGATATGTTGTGGCCAAAGTTGCGTTTTGCCTCAATTTACAACTTCATTTTGCCCGAAATTAAATTTCAATTTTGGGCAATCCAACTTGAAATTTCGAAATGGGGCACAGAAATTTTTATTGCCCAACATTTTGATTTTGGATCATGTGACTTATATGATCATTGGCTTTCAATTTGTGAAATAAAACCAATCTCTTTTTTTATCCACCCTAAAATTTTATAAAAAAATTTTTTTACCTTGGAAATTTCTTTTATTAGTAAAGATACTTTTAATAAAATTACTGATAAATATATACAAAACAGTAAATCTAAAACATCCGAAAAGCAATTTATAGGGAGAAATAATTTTGCTGAGAATTTTTTAAGATTTTTTTTTTTTTTGATAGATCATTTCGTTAGCAAATTTTTTAACGGTGCAGATTTTTTTTGATAGAGAATTTCAGTAAAGAATTTTTTTTTTTTTGATAGGAGGGAAGTTTTTTTGATATAGAAATTCTTTTGAGAATTTTTTTTTAATGGGTAAGAATCTTTTTGATTTTTTTTTAATAGGGAAAAATGTTTTTTTGATGGAAGATTTTCGTTAGAAATTTTTCTTTAACAAGGATATTTTTTTGATAATCTTATTGGTTGAAAAGTTTTTTTATAGGTGATTTTTTTTTTGATGGAGTATGTCGTTTAGAAGTCTTTTAATAGAAAATTTTATTGAAAATAATTTTTTTAATAAGGATATTGAGAATTTTGGCACAAAATTTTTTTAAAAATAAAGAACTTCGTTAGAGATCTTTTTTTTTTTTTTCATAAAAAATTTACTGGAAAATTTACTAAAATTTTAATAAATTTATAAAATTAATTATTTTTTTAATGAATATTATAAAATAAATGGTTTGCTAACAGTATAAACTTTAAAAATTTGCTTAATTTACTATGTTATTTAGAATTCTATCATGGTTTTTCTTAATTTATCTTAAGTATTTTTTTAATTTTGTTCTAATATATATGGTTTCAGATTTTTTTTTTATCTTTTGATTTATATTAGCAGCATACTTTTTTAATTTTATAAATTTTATCTTTATAATTTAGCTTTAGTATTTTACCGGTCTCGCTGGATGTTCATACACTGCATATCATGTGACTACTGCGGAGCTATGGATTGGCAAAAAAATGTAGACAAGATTTTCTTGTTCTAAGAAATATCAAGAAGACTTTGATTACAGCTGACGACGTCAAAAGGTGGAGTTCTGTTTAGAGTCCTTTGGTCGACCGTGCAACATTTTTTTTTGGTTCATCATTCTAGATGTAGATAGACAGATTTTACCTGGGCGTCAGAACTCGTGGGAGCTACGGCTAGTTTCAACAGTTATTCAGCAATGGTTTATTAACAAATGGGACGATGGACGCAACACAAAGCTTGGGAATTATGAGGATTCATAATTAGGACTCCAAGAATGGTATATGATCGAGATTTTTAGGTTAGGTCTTGTATAGTTTAATATAGTTTAGTATAGAACTTTTGTTGTAGATGCACATGTACAGTATATTTAGCGTTTTTTTTCATTCTGCCATTAATGTCTAACATAGTACATGATAATTACTGCTACTTCATTGGATATGATATTGAGAGAGGATATAAGAAAGTTTTTTTTCCTTATATCCAAACTCCTTTTTTTTTTGTGGTAAAACCATTAAAACGTAATACTTTATAATTCATATGATTAAAGAACATACAAAAAACAAAAGTAAAACTTACCCATTTAAAAAATCATTATTAATATCTGAGGAATTTATAAATAATATGCCATCCGTCTTTTCATTTCGTTAAGATGTGGTTTAATATTTGATCGTTTTGCGTTCTCATAGTCTTCATCATTAAGTTTATCTTTCCCATTTGTATTATATTATCCATTTCCTAGTAAATCCATCTAACAAAATAGCATTATCCATCATGAGTAAGATATTGTATATTAATCAAACGATTATGAGGAATCCATTCTATAACTTCTCTCCGATTTCTCGTTGTTCACACGTACTTAAAATTTTCTTGGTTGTCATTAATAAAATCAATGGCGTATGCGGCGTTGTATTAGGGTGCGTAGTCAACTAATTAAATAAAAACTATATATGGAGTATGGACCCATATAAAAATTTACTATTAAAGATTTTTTCATGCAATAATACAACCTTCATGAAATTAGTGGCATACCTGTTAAAAAATCTAAAATCTTAAAACTTCGATAACTTTGTATTATTTTGACTAATATTCAGAAAATATAAAAATTTAAATAAATTCCCAATAACTTGAAGAATAATGCAACAATCTCGCAAACGCTAAAGAAAAAAAATTTTTTCCTTATGTAGGTAGATAAGTAAGTCCTTATTTTATTTATTTTTGAGACATAAACGATCTTTTTTTTTTGGAAAAAAACAGACTGTCACATAAAAGAGTTGACAATTTAGAATACTTTTGTTGAATTTTATTGGGAAGAATTTAATGTTATGGAAGTATGAACCAATCTAGTAAGAAATTTATTATAAAAAGTAATTAATCAATAGTTTAATCAGAAAAATCTTTAATACAAGTAGTAAATTTTTATATGGGTCCATATATAGTTTTAGTTTAATTAGTTGACATTAACATTTCGTTTGTTTGAAAATCTACTAGCTAGATTTGATTAAGCGATCTTCGAATTTCTCGAATTTTTGAAATATTTCACGTGATTATACACGTAATCATATTTGTAATCTATTGATACCGCACGTTAAAATAAAACTGATTTTATAAATAATTTTAAAAAATTAAACTAATTAAAAATATTCAAAAATTGAAATTAACTAATTATTAAATACTATTTACTATTTTGAATTCATGAGAAGCTCTGAATGCATTTTACATTTTTAAACAAGGTTATATTTCATTGCTTTTTATAAATATTGCAGTTAAAATACACTATTATATAATTAAACGGTTTTGTAGAAAATGCAAAAAATTTTATATTTGTTAATCAAATAGTAATTCTTCCATTTTTCTTCACTTTTTCCTTTTTCTAATCACAATAAATAATATACAGTAACAATGAGTAAGAAAAGATAACTTTATTAAAATTAATAACTATAATATTAAAACTATTAGAAAATTAAACCATGAATTGAATTTTCAAATTAAAAACAATTTCTTGTCACAACAAAGTGATGACCAACATAATTTTTTTTCAATTATGATATAAATGACTAAGTTTTGCATCAACCACACCTTCATCAAAATATTTCTTTATAATCTTAATATGTTCTTGAGTAAAATAACGACATCTATAAAAACGTGTAACAAATTTAATTGGAATTCTACCTCTCCATTTTTCAAAAAAATTTTGTAAGCCATCAACTGAAAATATAAAATCCTTATTAAATGAAAATATTTTAAAAGTTTTTGAAGAATAATCTGCTAAAATATTTAATATTTCATCACAATTATCTTCTTCATCTTCTATATCAACTATATAAAGTTCTAATTTATTTAATCTCGCACAATTTAAGAAAATTTCTTTTATACCACCCAAATTTTTAAATTGAATATTAATACCCAAACTTTCAATCTTTGGACAATTTATAGCAATGGATTTATATAATCTTTTAGTATAACCAAATTTATGATCATTCCTTATATCAATATTTTTAATATTTCCATGAGAATTTTCAATTAACATACAAACTTCGTGACGTGGTAAATATTCTGTTTTGAGGTACAGAAGGTTTGGAAAAGAAGCAATTGATAAATACTTTTGCAATTCTTGTAATTCTTGTTTATTATTATTGTTATAATAACTGCTAATAAACTTTAAGTAAATTAAATTTGTTAACGATAAAAATAATTTTGGTGAAAGTAAGACGTGTGATATAACAAGTTTTATGAATGTACCAGCTTTTCTTTCTATTACTTCATTTAATTGTAAACTCCTTGTTGTTTCATCACAATGTAAGGCTAATGATCGCAAATTCTTTTGATTATCAATAAATTTGATTAAGCCTGGAATAGCTTTATCACAATCCCATATTTCCAAATCCTCTATATTTTGACAAATTTTTTCCATTTCAAATAATTTTTCTGAAATTAAACTTACAAATTTATCAATACTTAAAGTATGGAGCTGAGAAAAAAAAGTTGATGTTTCAGGGTATTGATATAAAGGTAATTCTGTTTTCCAATTAAATACTGATATATTCTTACAATTGGTGATAAATAATTTGTAATATTCTTGTTCCAATAATTTACTCTTTTCCAGATATTTATGATCATTCTTAATCAATGTAGATTCCATCTCATCTATAAGGTCTGTTGAAATTTCTGAAAAAAAACTAATATAATTGAATAATGGTTTGCTGTTTAAAAAAGAAGTTGGAATTGAAACAACTTCATTCTCAATTAATAATTGTTTTGATGATGTCGGTAATAAGTAGATTATTGTGTTATAAAGTTTATTAAATGATAAAGATTGATTAGAAGCTTTACTATTATAAAGAGTCTCATAAGGATTTTTCCATAATATATTTACTCCTATAGTACACCATAATCTATTTACTAAAATACAAGAATATAAAGAATTTGGATCATCTTTTAGTTCGTAAAAAATCAAAATGAGACAATCTCCGGGGATATCTGACATCTTTAATATGGAGAGAAAAAAAAAATAGGGGTCCTTTTATATCAGGACTTTTTTTAGGGGGTTAATGTAGCTGACGTAAATTTACGTGTAATTATAATCTACATAAACACTTTTATTACACAGGCTAATTCACACAAACTAATCTCTTCTTGATCATTTTTCAGGAGTTAATATAAGCTGATGTCAATCATTTCACTTTCCTATTGTCCTTCTGTTTGATGTATTATTTATTGTCAGCTTTTTCACGTGGTATATAAACAATTTTAATAATTATATAATAATATGTTGTAATGATGTAATCTTTGCAATCCTTTACGCGAGAAAAAAGAATATGTAAATTTTTAAAAAATCAAATTCTTTTGTAATTATCACTTTTATCAGTTTTGTATACCAATTTTTTTTTTTCGTGATATATATTTCATATTCTATATATTTTTTTCAGCAATGTTGGATGTCGAGTAATTCCATATAATCGAGAATCATCATTTTCAGTGGTATATTCAAAACTTAAATAATTTTTTCACTAAATCAAAAAATTATTTTAAATTATGAAATATATAACCTAAAAGATATTTAAATAATTTACCTCATTTAAAAATCATCATTGATACTTGTGGAATTATTTAAGCTTTTCGACACAAATTATTCTCCGAATTTTTCGTTTTCATTAAGAGGCGATTTAATATTTTCTAAGATTGTATTTTTATAATCTTCATCTCTAAATTTATAAATACTATTTTCCATTGTTGTTTTTCACTATCCCATTCTTCAATATATCCGTCTAATAAAATAGCCTTATAAACAATACCTGAATTATATTTCTCGAATTATTATATTGTATCTATTCAAGTACTTATCATTGGTTTCTTGCTTTTGATTGAGAATCCTGTACAAATTTATCAATAAATTTATTTTCACTAGTCCATTTTTTTGAAACAGTTTAGAATTACAATTCAGACACTGATTAAGAAATTGATTACAATCAGAACATATTATTTGTTTAAAGCTTTTTTTCAATATTTTCACATATTATTAAGATTATTACAACAATATTTTTTTTTTAGTGTGGTCTCACGGTAAATAATAAACTTGTGCAACTAAGCTTTATTTATTTTCGAATTTTCGAATCACAGATATTTATCACGTGACTATCTACCAATTAAAACTGATTTACGGCACATAAAAAATTTTTTTTTTTTTTATTCAAAACTTTTTTAAATCATTGATGGCTTAATCATCACACAATTAAATATATAAATAATAAATATGGTTTAAGGTTATGTCTCGCGACTTGAAAATGATTTCTATTGCAATAATAAAGTGTCCGATGATTTAAAACATGTTTTTACCATCCTTATTTATTAGCCCATGGTATTGCGGTATTGCACTCATCACTGAGAAATTTATCCTTTACTATATCTCATGTACAATTTGTCTTTTTTGTCATGTAGTATTAAAACATGGTTATGTGATATTTGATCATATTTAATTTAGTAGAAATTTTTATTTTTAAAGTATAGTGATTTCTTTTCACGACAACGAAATTAATATTTAAAAAAAATTTATTTTTAAAAAAAGCCAAAAAAAAAAACTAATTAAAAAAGATTTAGATTTACGATAAAAAAAAAAAAAAAATTTTTTCGGTATTGAAAAAAAAAACGAAAACAAAATATTACCTTTTTTTGGTTTTAAAAAAAAAGATCGAGAAAAAATATTTTTTTTCAATTGAAAACTGAAAAACTGAAAAGAAAAACTTCTTTCTTGGTTTTTTTAAAAAAAAATCGAAAAAAACTAAATAATTAGTAAAAAAAAACTTTGCCAATTCTCAAACGGCACGCGCACATGACCACGGTTTCCATTTTAACACGGAATAGATCAGGCGCAGACATATCACCGTCCGATTGATCTATTTAAAAAATATTGTCATTTTGATGCTAAGTAAACAATACATTTATTTATTTCGTTTTCTTTGTAAAAATTTTATTTCTTGCAATGACTTTTATATACTGTATTTATTTTTTAAAATAAGTTTTATTTTTCTCTAATTAATATATAACTTACATTGATATAACATGTAATTTATGTATTACCGTATCCAACTACCCTGCAGTAATGATTTTATCGCATCTCTTTGTGGATTAGAACTACATAAATTAGACATATCAAACTGAAATTTTGAATTGTCACACTACTAATTAGAGGTATTGCCTTAATATTATCAAAATTTGTAAAATTGGTATGTAAGTAAAAACATACGTGAGAGTCGAGAACAACCAGAATATAGGTGTAACATGATTTTTTGTATATATAACTAATGAATTAATAATTGAAACTTAATCTGTCTAACTCACTTTTGAATTAAAATGACCAGCATATCATGTATTGATTCAGGGGAAAGAACGGTCCTACCTTATTTGTTTACGTAAAATATTATTAATATTTAAAAAAAATTCTCCTATAATTTTTTAAAAAAGTTCGTTTAATAAAGTAATAATAATAATAATTATTATTATTATTTTTAATTAGAATTATCAAAAATTCTGTTAAAAAAATTGTAGAAATTATTGAAATTACCTTTAGCCAAAAACATCCATATTCATTAATATTTTTTATTATTTGATTTGTAGAAATATTGTTATGAATAACGGGGAAACTGTAATTACGTAAGAATACAATCTGCGTCCGCATCACGTTTATAAGTAGAAAGCCAGGTTGCATCCGCGTCACGTTTATATTCAAACGGTGCCGCAACTGCCGCATCTGCGTCAATAATGAATTTAAATTATCATTAAAAGAACCCTTAATATAAGCATGTGAATTTCATTATTGATTTTGTGAGTACAATATAATTTTTTAATTCGTTGTTTATTCTCAAAGTGTTTATATAAGAAAATTTTTCTATAATAACACGTATTTTCAAATTATTTTATGAATCAATGAAGGCGAAGTAAAGAATTCGTTCAAGAATATTTTTGCCACGTTTTCTGTATTGCGTCATGGCCATGTTAAATTTGTAATTTAAGAGATATCAATAATTATTTTTAGCCACAATTATTATAAATTGTTGTTTTATTAACAATGGTGAAGCAAAAAAGATGTATGAGATTATTTTGCTACGTTTTTTTTTACATTGCGCCACAATCAGAACGATCAGTGCCACTTTGAATTAATAATGTGGAAATCTATTTTTTTTAAAAATAAATATATCTATATTGTTAAAAATTGTAACTAAGATCAAGAAAGTATAATTCATTTCTTTTATCTGATTATTCAACTTCACAGCCACATCAACTCCACAATCATTAAAAAAAAATTAAAGGTTATTGGATCATCACGTAATTTGTCAAAAGTACTTTGATGAGGATGATAATAGTATTAATTTCCATATTAAATAGTGCCTTTGGCATCAAGTTTGAAAAGTTATTGACATTTTAATTTTTAGAAACTTTTTAAGATTATAGGAAATTTTCAAAAAGATGATCCTGATGTATTAAAATAAACTAGGAAATGATCAATGATTCAAATGTTTGAAGACTGTCAAAAAAAAATTATTAAAAGTTTTAAAATATTCTTGCTTCACATTGATTTACGAATAATTATTCAATAAATTCAAATAATTTGGTAAATATTTTATTATTATCATTATTTTATTCACTTCTTATAATATACTTTATTCTCTTTATATTTAAGTTTATTGAAAAATATCATAGTTTATAAAGTTTTTATTTCTAAATTAATACATCCCATATTAAAGATAGAAATTATGCAAAAAGAATACGGGGACATAAGGAAGTATTGAGAAATCAAAATATTATTATGTAATAGTTCATATGTAACGTTTTTAATTTACCAACAAAAATTAATTTTGTTATTATTCAATAATATGAATTTTCGTTTTTAGCTGATTATATAATCGAAAATTAGATAGAATCGCTAAAACCAAAGGGGAAAGGCTAGTACTGATAAAATAGTTTTTAAATTAGAATAGATAAATCATAATTAGTATTCATAAATACGTTAATAAGTTATTGAATTGTTACTTGTTTTTTTTAAGTTAAATTTATTTATACAACAATTTTTAAATCTTATTTTTTTTTTAGGATAAAATAATACAAAGAATTTTATTCTGTAATGGTATAAAGAAAAAAAAAAGATTTGAAAAATAATGTTTATCAAAAAAAAAAAATACTGTAAAATTGTTAATATAAGTAATGCTAACTTAAGGTCGTTAATTACTTTCGAATTATGATCTTTATATAAGCCCATTTCTGCACTTTTAAATTCTCTATTTGAATCTAAAAATAAATAAATAAAATAATATATTAGCCTAGATATAGATAAAAAAACAATATTAATAATTCTTCAACAAATTGGACAAATTTAACCTTAATTAATATTCAATTAAGGAATATTAACTTGACAACATTCTAAAGAATCTAGTATTTAATAAATAAAAAATTTATTAGTATCTTTAACAAATGATTTATAGTAGTATTTTTATTAATTTATACCTGAAAATTCCTTGCTTATTATATTATCATTTTGTTCGTAATAATCATCAGAATTTTTTGGTTCAGGAAGATTATTAATATTGAGTAATCTACTTTCATATGATAATAATCCTAAATTAGTTAAAGGTATGGTGATATTTGGTGAATTGTTGTTAATATTATCTGCTTCTTCAATTTGTGTTCGTAATACTATTGTTTGTTTATCACTTGGTTTATATAGCCATGAGTATAAAATATTTTCAATTTCTCTTGCTTTTGGTCGTTTTAATGGATCTGAATCTAAGCATCTTTTAGTCAATTGTACAATTAATTGAGGTACTTTAATATTAAACCTTGGTCTAAGTCCTTGACAAATAAATAATGCTAAATTTTCATGGCTAATGTTATGATATGGGCGTAATCCAGAAATTACTTCATACATAATTATACCAAAACTATAAATATCAGCAGCCTTGGTATAATTTTTTCCTCTTAAGATTTCAGGAGCTACATAAGGTAAATTACCATAAATTGAATTCTCTGATGCATCATTTGCAGGTTTGCATAATCCCATATCAGCTATAACTGCATTATATTTAAGCTTCAATATATTACCAATATGCAAATCACGATGAAATAATTCCTTTTCATGAATGCACTTGAGTCCAAGTATAGCATCTCGTAAATAACCAAACTTTTTGTCCCAATTTAATATACTATAATTTTCATCTAAATAATTCCGTAAACTTCCATCTTCCGCATAATCTAAAATCATCATATAATCTTTTGTATTTGGATCCTGAGTTATTCCATAAAATTCAATAATAAAATTATTGTCTATTTTTCCTTTATTATGTAACATAATCTATATGAAAGTAGAGTTACAAAATATATTAGTAAAATTAAAAATTTCAAGTTTAACTATTTAAAATAAATTCAAATTAATAAAATCAATATAAGACCTCACTCATAAATTTTAATGTAACATTTTTTGAATTATTTAAACTTTTTAGAGCTACAAACATATTATTTTTATTTCTTTGCCAATTTTGATTTTCATCATCCCATTTATAAATACATCCATCAATCCAATTTGCTCTATATATTTTGCCAAATCCTCCTTTTGCAATATATTTAATATCATATAATCTTTCATAAGGTATCCATTCTAATGGATTGTTATATACTTCACTGTCGCTATGGGTTAATAACTGAGTATCTTGAATAAATTTATCAATATCTTCATTACCACTAGTCCAATTTCCGAACTTTCGTTGAAAACGAACTGCATTACATNCAAACCGGGATATGTTGGCATTTTATTTCTCTGCTCCCTTTCCTCGGCTACTATTTGTTGTATTGCAGAAGAATTATCTACCCTTGTTTTGATTTCAGGGTAAGCCTGAAAATTATCTATGGGAGCGGGAGAAATTGGATATTGGTCATTATTACCACTATTATTATCCGGGTTGCCATGCTTGTTTGCTTGTTTTCCGTGACGAATAAAGTTTTTCAATTGTTCAATCATTGGCATTGTATTTTTTTTTTTCTAACAATAAATTGAATAAAAAAAAAAATAGTCTGTGTATAAAAAGTATTTTTCTTTAAAATAAAATAATTTTTCTTCTTGGACTTTTCTAAGTATCAATAACGTTCTTAAATTCACCCTATAATATAAATTGGTCAGAAAAAGGGAAATTTTAAAAAAATTACAAGAAAAAAGGTTTGAGATAATACTCACGATACTCGTGAAAATAAATTAATTTTCTCAATAAAAGTAGAGAGAAAACAGAACATGCTCTTTTACTAAGATGTATTTATATAAACCCTATTCAGAGGAACGTCAGACTGCAGAATCAAGAAATAAACATTTTTTTAATTATTCAGCGGAAAAGTATGGGTTACACGAGAAAATCTGACGTAAATAGCCGTAATTGAAAAGGAGAAAAGGGGATGAGATAATTTTGACGTGAGATCTAAACTTATAAGAGCTATATTCCATGTAACACAAGTTACATGAAACATTTTTTACCGATTTATAAAAAATATTTTTGCCAAAGGTGCTACTTAATACATTATGACCCGTTTGTTAATCACGTGAGCCTAAGTGATTTTCTATTCTATGGTTAAATTAAATAAGGATAAATTAAACAACTATCGTGATTAATTTTCGGAAAATGTTATAAAACGGACCAATTTAAATTAGAGTTAAATCACGTATATGATTTTCTCGATCATCAAATTTTACAGGGCTGATTAAGAAATATTTCGCGAAATCTTTTCTCGGTCTATTATTGTTAAGCCGCGTGATAATTAATAAATAGTAATTATTTTTGTCTCACCATTTAAAACTTTGCAAATCGGCGGTACTTAATTAGCCATGGGAAATGGGAAATTCTTTTTACCGTGTAACATGACGTTATATCTTACTCGTCGATCATCGAGATCCAATGATTTTTAATTATCAATCTCGAATGTTCTCCAAAGTACATATCGACTTATAATTTTCTTGTACTTGGCTTCGGGGGATCAACCTATATATGGAGTAAGAAAGATCAAAATTGAAAATCTTTAAGAATGACTGATTTATAAATTCTGGGATTTCGGGATTTCGGGATTTCATCGTCAGTAAATAAGGCATGAAGAATAACCCAAAGCACAAAATTTGAAAATTGGGAATTTCTAATAAAATGCTTGTGAAACAAAAACAAAAAAAGAATATGTAATTTGTGTAATTAGATAAACATGCACATTTAGCATGCGAGACAATAAATGACGTCATTTAATTTATTAGTTTGGTACTTCTCTAATTTAGGAAATGCATAATTCTTGCCAGGATTAAGCTCCTTATTAATTTGCTGACGCAATCCTCTATTCACGATTTTGGTTAATTTAAATAACACAAAAATAAAACGTGCTTTGACTTTAGTAAAATCCATAAATTAAAGGTTTTTTAGAAATCTTGACTTTTATTTTTGATATGACAAAATTTTAGCGTCAGGATATTTCTGTATAGTTTCTATAAATGATTCATTTATTGCAGCCACTCAGATAGACAGATACACCGTCGAAAAATTTGGTCGGTCCTTTTCAAGAAAGTTAAGTTAAACCGCATTAACTCGTCATCCAGTGATCATAAAAAGGTGAAACACAGCTTGTTGGATTCGTACGTTAAATGGTGTCTCTATTATCGAAACTTTTAATGATAGCTCGTTATCCATCGATTCTAGAGATATGAAATTATCCCTATTTGACGCGTCTCGTTATGGCAAATCCGACAAGCTGTGTTATACCTTTCTACAATAATCTAACGCGGTTTAACGTTCCGATCAATAATTCTTACCGACTGCATTGTGACACCTTCAACTTATTGTAACTGCTAATTTATTAATTCTTTTATCACATATTTATTACAGTTCATTTGTTCTTTAAAGTTAATAGAGTTCATATTATTTACTTAGAACCACTTATTTTATTTTTTATTTTAATTTGACATCCAGGATTGAATGCAGATTATGTAACATTCAAATTTATCATATCATAATTGTAACATTGTGTAAATAAAGATAATTTCGTGACGGTATATGACATAATTTTACCACAATTGGTGTGAATAAGTGATATGGATTATCACTGTTTTCAAATTAGTGCGACCCCCTGCATGTCACCCCCTAAGGAAATCGGTTTTCGCAAATGTGGAAAACCCGGAATTTTTCTGAATAACTTTGTAGAAAAGGTCCGATTGCTAGTGATTTCTGGAGGAAATCTCAGGAAATTTTCAATTATTCAAATAGTTTGCTTATAAGTGAGTGATAAAACTTTGTGTAACGTAAACACTTTTTTATAAGCAAACTACCTTTATAACTGAGAATTTCGCAAGATTTCCTCTGGAAATCGCTAATAATTGACCCTTTCCTACGTAGTTATTCAGGAAAATTCCGGGTTTTCGCAAATTTTTGGAAATCGATTTCCTTAGGGGGTGACACGCGGGGGTCGCACTAATTTGAAAATGGCGATAATAGGGAGAGAAATAATTTTGCTGAGAATTGTTTTTTTTTTTAATAAAAAAGATATTTTTTTTTTTTTGATAGATAATTTCGTTAGTAAATTTTTTAACAGGTGAGATTTTTTTTTTTTGATAAAGAATTTCGGTAAAGGATTGTTTTTTTAATAGGAGGGAAGTTTTTTTGATATAGAAATTCTTTTGAGAATTTTTTTTAATGGATAAGATTCCTTTTTGAATTTTTTTTTTTAATAGGAAAAATGTTTTTTTATGGAAAAATTTCGTTAGAAATTTTTTCTTTAATAAGGAATTCCACTTGTGAATTTTTCTTTAATAGAGTCAGTTTTTTTTTGATAATTTTGTTGGTTGAAAAGTTTTTTATAGGCAAGTCTTTTTTTGGTGAAGCATTTCATTTTAGAATTCATTTAATAGAAAATTTTATTGAAAATAATTTTTTAATAAGGGTATTGAGAATTCTAGTTTGAAGCTTTTTTTTTAATAAAGAACTAGGCGTAACCTGTAGGGATGATACTATTGATACTTGCCCATCAAGTAAGAGAATAATAATAACACACTTATATTTTATTTGCCATGCTGTGTGAATAGGTCTAGTTTTTTATTATTATTATGATGGTATTAGTACAAATGTTGCAGTACTGTGAAATTTACAAATTCATTACAAAAACAATTTTGAATAAGTAGTTTATTGTTATATTGTTACAAAAAATCTTTTAAAAAATTCCATTGTAGCATTAAAAAAAAATTACATCCCCGAGAAAAAAAAATATCTCACTAATTATAAAAAAATCCCAGAAAAATTAATTATAATGATCTGTTGTCATGAAAAAAAAAACTCCCCAGAAAAATTAGTTATAACGATCTATCAGCTATTGTTACAAAAATAAATAAGTAATTATGTTAATCTATTATTGAGCTTGATACAAAAAAAAATATTATTATTAATAATAAGAGTCAGGAAAAAAGGGTAATTGCCGTGGCGCTGCAACATCGATCTGATCACTGATCCAAACCTAAATGGTGAAAGAATGTATTCGGGAAAAAAAATTCGGTTTGAAAGAAAAAAAGTCAAACCGAAAAAGGAAAAGGGAAAAAATTTTCAGATTGGAAAAAAAGCCAACCGGAAAAAAACAAAAAAAATAACAAAAAAAAAAATTTGTGTGGAACAAAGAGAAAAATCGGGTTGAAAAAAGAAACCTGAAAGAAACTGAAGAAAAAATGAAAAAAAATTCGAAAGAAAAAGGAAATAAATAATAAATCTTAATATAATCTATATTCTATATAATTTCTATATAATTAAAAAAATAGTGTTTGTGTGACTAACGTTTAGATTAGCCTGTATAAATTAATTTTGAATTGCTGATCCATGTTCTTTATAGTTAAGACTCGCTTGATCGGCAAGTCATGATGTACATCTAATCCAATTCCGGTTAATGAAATTTTAATCGGAATTTTTTTTTTTCAGTTTTTTTTCAACCGATCTAAATTTTTTTTCCTTTTTTGGTTTGGTTTTTTTCTTTCAAACCGAATTTTTTTTTCCTGAATACGGCATTCTTTCACTATTTAGGTTTGGATCGATGATCAGATCAATGTTGCGGCGCCACTAATAGACTAACATCTATATAATTAAAAAAAATTTGTCTAGTGACGTTTGGATTAGTCTCCGTATAAATAATTTGAATTGTGTAACTTGAAATCCCATGCCATATAATTAAAACCTGTGATATGCCTCCACCTGATCTATTTATGGTCAAAAACTATTCGATCCGCGTGCTCAACTAAAATCAACTAATTCAATTTCAAAATTTGCCTTAATTTTTTTTGATTATTAATTTTTTTTTTTATTATTAATTAAAGAATAAAATATTATATTAAATATATTTATTGTTTTTTTTAAAAAAAATTCAATATTACATATAGAAAAATTGACCGACGTTGATATAAGGTTTTTGAACGCTGATAAATAGTTTTGATTTTCAAATTCATAAAAATCAAAAAAATTGATATGTTACAATATTTTATAATTAATTAATTGAAGAAATTGTTGATTTAATAATAGATTATTATAACCAAATCCATATCCGAAATTCTCTAAATAATCACCAGATTTTGAATAAAGATTTTAATTCAAATATTTTAGTTAAATTAATAATTTATCAAATAAAATAAATCCCAAAAGAATAATAATAAATGAAATGAATAGACTCTAATACATTTAATTATTCAAATATTTTTCCTAAGTTGATTATAATTTTAAGATTGACGTAATATAAAATAAGAAATAATTATAAAATTTATAATTAATTAATAAAAATATTCGTAGTATTTTCATAATATTAAAGTTTTTTCGAAAATACTTCTAAAAAATTAATCAAAAAAAAATGAGGGTTTGAAAAAATAGGGAGAGTAAAAAAGAATAAAGAAACGAAGGGGGAGTGAGGGAGGAACGAAATGGAGTAAAGGGAGAGTGAAAAAAACAAAAGGAATGAAAAGGAATGAAAAAAAATGAAAAGAATGAAGGGGGACGAAATGAGCAATGGGGAATAAAAAATGAAAGGAACAAACGGTAGTGTAAAGAGAAGTGGGAATGGAAAAAAAATGAAAATAACAAAGGATAGTGCAAGGTACAAAAAAGATGAAGTAGGAATGGAATAAAAATGAAAGGAATGAAAGTAGTGTAAAAGAATGAAAAAGACGAAAGGAACGAAGAGGAAATAAAAAACAACAGAAAAAATGAAGGAAGGGAAGAATAAAAAGGGCAAAAGAAATGAAGAGACAAAAGAAAACAAAAAAATGGAGAAAAGACGAAAATGAGATAAACAGGGAACCAAGTAAAAACCAGACCCATAAAATAAAGAAGAAATAACTGAAAGTTAGTAGGGAATGGAAATTACATGTAATAAATAAACAAAAACAAAAAAATAAAAAACATACCTTAGTAGTTACAAAGAAGAACCAAAAGACCTAAAAAGAATGAAATACAAAATGTAAGAAATAAATATTAAGAATGTAATAAAAAATAACTAAGAAGAAGAAACGACTATATAGAGCTGGTCATAACTTAATTGCAAAATCGAAAAATAAAGTTAGTAGGAAACAAAATTCAAGAAGCAAAAATGAAAAAAAGAAAGAAAACATAACTTGAGCGCCGTGCAAAGGAGAGAAAGAACTAAAGAAAAAAAGATTATCCGAGTACGTTTAAAAAAAATAAAAGAAATAACCAGCACATTAATTAACCAATAAAATTAATAGGATGCGCATATACAAATTAAATAATGAGGTGATATCATACAATCATATAGGTTAAATCACCCTAGGTGAAAAATTGTTAAATCGTCCAAGGTGAAAAGTAGTTATAATCTTCCTTATTAATCCGAATTTCATTCTACACTCAAACGTCAAATCATTAATATAAGCTATATTATTATTTTTTGCTAACTAATTATTATCATATTAAATTCTTAAAAACTATTGTAACCATCTTTAATTTACTTAGTATTACATTATAATACTAAATTTTTCTATTTAAACAAACTCATTGATCCCGGTGCGAAGCAACGGGTAACTGCTAGTTCTTTATTAAACAAAAATTTTAAGCCAGAATTCTCAAAAAAAACTATTTTCAATAAAATTTTCTACAAAATTCTCAATCAAAAAAATATCCCGATTAAAGAAAAATTTCTAACGAAAATCTTCCATCAAAAAACCGTTTCTAAAAGAGTGACATATTCCTGCCCTGTATTATATTTAAAGGTTTTAACAAAGCATCATTAATATACAACTTGTTCTATAATATACTATAATATAAATATTCATATTAAGAAATTTTTTATATTAATAGCATAAAAAACCAGTTATGTAAATCTAACCAATCTGATTTTGTGCTGATAGTACAATCTGTTGCAGAAAATTTGTTTATAAAAATAAATTTTCTTGTACTTGTAATGGTAAAAATAAAAAATTGAAAAATTTAACATATTTGTTAACGTTACTACTTGATTAATTTTGAATGAAAAAAAAAGAAAAAAAAATATAATTTTAAAATTTAATATCTATGCTTCCCGTCAAATAATTTTTAATTTTCTAAAAGAACAAACAAAACTTGTCCAAATACATGACTGTACATATAACCATTAAATTATATGAAATTTAATAAAACTTAAATTTATTAAAATACAAATAAAATAAATTGTTAATTAATACTTGTCTGACTCTATATAATTAAATAAAAGTAAACTTTGAAGAAAAATCGAAGAAAATCCATGAAACTTCATAACTTGAAAACCGACTTGTAACCTTACAAGTGTATAGTTTGTTGTAAAAGGTTTAGAATTTTGTGGGAAATTAGACTTAACAAGAAAATTTTATTAGAAGCGATTGAAAAAAAATGGAGGAAATCGGGAATATCAGATTAGATTTACATTTGGTTAGTACATGATTAGAGGATCGTACTAACAGCTAAATTAAAAACGGAGGTAATACCTGCACTTTTTGCACAGGACTTTTGAGGGTTTTCAATTCTTCTCCTACGATACAATCGGACACATGATTCGACTGATTCGTCCGTGCTGATCTATTCCATAATTATTATGGTTAGAAATAATTTGATTTGCTGTCTGGTCATATACTAATACAGTTTCGGTTAATGAAATTTTAATCGGATATTTTTTTTGCTAATTAACGAAAAGCAAATTTTTTTCTAGTCATGTTTCATTTTTGGCCATTCCCACCCTCTCAGGATGATGCGATCGGCAGCAAATGTATTACCGTAGCTATTCAAACGTTGATTTTTTAGTCTCTTTAGTCTTTTTTTAGACTGGATCATTTTTTTCGGTCTCTTTTTATGCCGAATCATATTTTATTTAATAATATTTTTTTTTGGTCTTTTTTTAGACCGGATCACTTTTTTTATGATAATAATGTTTTTCGATCTTTCTTTTTAGACCGGATTTTTTTCTTAAAAAAATAACACCTTTTTTTGGTCTGATCTTTTTTTTTTTAATATAATTTTTTTTTCGGTCTCTTTTTTTTAGACCAGATTTTTTTTAATATTATTTTTTTTTTTAGTTTTTGAATTAATTAAAAATATACAATTTTCTTATTGAATCTTAAAATACTTTTATAAATATTCGTAGCTATAATTATACTGTATAAATTTTTACTTATAACATACAAATTAAAATTATGTAGAATTGCAGATGAGAAATAGTTTTTTGCTAAGGCTTACATTGAACAATTTTAAAGTTTAGCAAATGTAAATTTTGTTATAGAAAGTTTGTATTCAATTTTTTTTTTCAATAAAATCGTATGTCTAGGCTCAGCTCCAAACTACCTTAAGGCTTGGCTTGAATTAGCTTAAAGTTGGCTCTAAACGAGTTAGGCTTGGCCATTCTAATCGGCTCAACTCAGCTCATGTGGAGCTTTATTTTTTAGTCTAATAACCTCTAAGAGAAGTTTACTAAGACAATAATAGCTTCTTTTTCGTCTACCAATCCTTTTTCTTCAGTAACTCTCGAAGTAAAAAGTTGTAACTAAATTTATTATGGTTTATATACGTATTAACTGATATCAAATTAAATCATATAAAAATAATAAGAATTTGAAATTTTATTTCGCCTGTTTTATTTGTGTTCATGATAAAATAGTTTTAAATTAGAATAGATACTAAATCATAATTATTCATAAATACGTTAATAAGTTATTGAATTGTTAATTGTTTTTTTTTAAGTTAAATTCATTTATACAACAATTTTTAAATCTTATTTTTTTTAGGATAAAATAATACAAAGAATTTTATTATATCAAAAATATAAAATAAACAAGTATATAAGTTCATAATATGGTCATTAAAATTTAAAATCCTGTTTAGCGTGATTCTCACTAATTTAATTATAAAAAAAAATGCCATTCCATTAAGTCGGAAAAGCAAAAAAAAAATAAAATAAAATAAATAAAATAAAAACAAATTAAAATACGCTTAAGAAAAGTTAACGCTGAACAGAATTTTAAACTGTAATGGTACAAAAAAAATAAAGATTTTGAAAAATTGTTTATCAAAAATGTTATACTGAAATACTGTAAATTTGTTAATATTAGTAATGCTAACTTAAGGTCGTTAATTACTTTCGAATTATAATCTTTATATAAGCTAATTTCTGCACTTTTAAATTCTCTATTTGAAATAAATCAATAAATAAAATAATATATTAGTTTAGATATAGATAAAAAAACAATAAATATTAATAATTCTTAACAAATTGAACAAATTTACGCCTTAATTAATGTTCAATTAAGGAATATCAATTCGACAATATTCTAAAGATTCTATTTAATAATAAAAATTTATTAGTATCTTTTAGCGAATAATTTATATTTTCAAAATAACAAGATCATTAATTAATACCTAAAAATTCCTTGCTTATTATATTATCATTTTGTTCGTAATAATCATCAGAATTTTTTGGTTCAGGAAGATTATTAAAATCGAGTAACCTACTTTCATATGTTAATAATCCTAAACTAGTTGAAGGTATGGTGATATTTGGTGAATTGTTGTTGATATTATCCGCTTCTTTAATTTGTGTTTGTAATAGTCCATTACCTCTATACCAATTGTATAAAATATCTTCAATTTCTTTTGCTTTTGGCCGTTTTAATGGATCTGAATCTAAGCATCCTTTAATTAATTGTACAATTAATTGAGGTACTTTAATATTAAACCTTGGTCTAAGTCCTTGACAAATTCTTATTGCTAAATTTTCATTATGGCTTATATTATGATATGGTCGTAATCCAGAAATTACTTCATACATAATTATACCAAAACTATAAATATCAGCAGCCTTGGTATAATTTTTTCCTCTTAAGATTTCAGGAGCTACATAAGGTAAATTACCATAAATTGAATTCTCTGATGCATCATTT